AACAGTTCTTATTAATAAAATCAAACCTGAGCCAGGTATTGGGGTGAACACTGGAAGATCAGAGAGACAGAACAAGCCACAGCTATCTCACCTTGCCAATTCCTCAGCTGGTCCTGTTTCCTCAGGTTGGAAGCCTCTGAGTGCTCATCCAGAATGAATCTCAGCTGAACTGCTGCGCAAAAGCCTGAAAGCTTAACCAGTCAAATGCTTAACCAGCCAAAATGCTTCTAGTTTCTCGTCCTCACGCCTTATATACCTTTCTGCTTTCTACCACCACTCTCTGGGATTAAAGGCTGGCTTTCTGGGATTAAAGGCGTGTGTCACCATGCTTGGCTGTTTCCAATGTGACCTTGAACTCACAGAGATCCAGAGGGATTTCTATCTCTGGAATGCTAGGATTAAAGGTGTGAGTGCCACCATTTTCTAGCCTTTGTATCTAGTGGCTGTCTGTTCTCTGACCCCAGATAAATTTACTAGGGTACACAATATTTTGGGGAACACAATGCCACCACACACCCCTGTCCCTTTTCTTATTTTCATCATTAAGGTTTATTCCTAAAACTTAGAAAATCAACTTGTCAGTTTTCTCATTTGACACTTATTACTGGAGAACCACTCTGTGGGAAGTATACTCAGTAAGTAACTCTAGTGTCCCTTGAGTCCTGGGAAACAATTTTCATGAAGCTGATGCTTAGGCATCACAATCCCAGAGGGCAAGCCTCGAAGTTCTAGGGTTTAAAACAAGCTCTTTACTTTTCTGAAGATCTTGATTCCCTGTTCTAAAAGCTATCAACCTGCATTAGTATATGGATACTGAATCATTTATGTGCAAAGTACATACCACATAGATATTGTACTATATGATATCATACACTAATTTTTCCTTCTATGTTTCTGACCTTACTTAATGATGATTTGTTCTGTTTGTTTGTTTGTTTTTGTTGTTGTTTTTGTTTGTTTGTTTTCTGGAGCTGAGGACCGAACCCAGCGCCTTGTGCTTGCTACACAAGCGCTCTACCACTGAGCTAAATCCCCAACCCCGATTTGTTATTTTACTACTTCTCATTTTATTAGTTATGTATTACTTTGCCTGTATTTATCAGATAGCCTACAAAATCTGTATTTTATCTGTTACTTAATATGATTTTCTTTCACAAATTCATGTCTTTTTCAAGACACTATAATACTTCCTCAAAGGTCTTAAATATAGTTGAGGGTGGATCTTTGGGCCACTTTCTTATGACTTCTATTTTGTTATCTTCACATTCTGTTTATTGTTGTTGTTTTTAAAGATACTTCTTCAATAAAGAAGCTCATCTTCCAGTACGTCATTGGCCTTCAATAACCTTATACTTTCTAAAATCATAACATGAAAAAGTGATGTATATTCAAAGATATTAACCTCAATTTGTAATTCATTTGAGAGCTAAGAATTTATTTATTATTAAACAGGTTACTTCTCTTTATTAATATATATTTTTATTGAAAGTATAATTTTTTCATACAGTATATTCTGGTCATGGTTTCTTCTCCAATTCCTCCCAGATACTCTCTGTCTTCCCACCCACCCAACTCCACATTCTTTCTTCCTCTCTTTTGAAAACAGGCAAACAGGGCTGGGTGGTGGTGGCAGTGGCAGTGGCAGTGGCAGTGGCAGTGACAGTGGCAGTGGCGATGCATGCCTTTAATCCCAGCACTCAGGAGGCAGAGGCAGGCAGATCTCTGTGAGTTCAAGGCCAGCCTGGTCTACAAAGTGATTTCCAGGACAGCCAAGGCTACACCCTGTCTCAAGAAACCCTGACTCGGGGAGAAAAAAGAAAAACGGAAAAAGAAAACAAGCAAACAAACCACAATTTAAAAAACTCATGAAACACAGACAAACAAACCCACAAACTAAACCCATAACATTACAAAATTCGAAATCATAATATACAAGTAGAAAACTAGTAAGACCAAACCCAAACAACAACAAAATGTAAAGCCTAAAGAAAGCAGTATGAGACAGAAAGTCTACAAAAATACCTTTGAGTTTGTTTTGTGTTGGCCATCTGGGCATGAGACCTACTCTTGAGTGTGAATTATATACCCAGTGAGACTTCAGTTGAGAAAGCTAACTTTTCCTTTGCAAACAGTTGTCATTTGGACTGCTTATGGATGGGAACCCATTTCTACCTTTCTCTCTTAGCAATGGTACACTATCTAGCTGGAACCTACATAGGCCTCGTGTGTTCAGCCACAGTCTTTGTGAGGTCATATGTGTTTCAATTCTGTTGTGTCTGGAAGATGCTGTTTCCATCCCCTCTCACTCTTACAATCTTTCTGCTTCTTCTTCCTTGAGCCCTGAGGGGAGAGCTTTGATGAAGACATCCCATTTAGGAGTGAGTGTTCCAGATTAAAGAGTTAAGAAATTTTTGAAATAGACAGACTCTTTTTTGCAAATAAATAAATAATTTAAAAATGACAGTAATATTTGCAAGTGGCACAAAAACTAAAAGGTTCTAAAGGTATAGGTTTTTCAGTCTATTTGGAAAGTGAGATTTGTGTTCTTTTGTTACTATCATTACTTTTAATGTGCCATAGAGTTCAGATTTCCCTAATGGTAGACCTTTTTGTTTTTGTGCTTTGAATATCATGAGGTTTTTCTTTTTTATTCATTTATTTTATTTTAAATTTATTAGAATGGCTTACAGGCTGTGGTCCAGCTAGTCCAATAATGGTTGTCTACCCAGGGAAGGTCCAAAAATCCAGTAGTTGTTCAGTCCATGTTTCACCTGGTCTTCAGGACAGACCAGAATTCTGAAGTAGTAGACTCTAATGCCAGTGAAGGAATGGACTTGCCAGTGAGAGCAAAAGCAAACACGCTCTTTTATAATTTTTATACAGGATGCTAACAGAAGGTATAGTCCAGATTAGAGGTGGATCTTACCACCCCAAAAGAGCTGGGTTAAAAGTGGGTCTTCCCACTTTGAATGATTTAATTAAAAACTCCCTCACAGGTATACCCCTCTGCTTAGGTTTTAGTTAGTTCCAGATGTAGTCAAGTTGACGACCAAGAATAGCAGCCACCGTGATCTTTCTTGCCTCTCTTCTGTGGTGTTCTCTGAGTTATTGATGTAGAAGCTGTGTTGCAGTTGTATCCATTGATGTTGGAGTCCCCATGATCTTTTGATGAGTTACAGTTCCTGTACTGGCTTCCTTTTGCTGTATTGAGAAGGTTCTTTGGTGAAGGGCAGTTTATTGGTGGGTTTTTTTTATTAAGGATATACCTCAAGAGACTTCTGCACTGCCACAGAATAAATCACTTCCTCATCTTTTCTCCTACAAGTTGCACTACAGTGTTGCTTGCTGCCTGGTACCAATAGTAACATTTATTCATGGTCCTGCTGGGTCTTAATGGTACCCTGTGTGTCTAGAGCCATTTAAGTACCCTTTCAGCTTCTTGTTCCTCTTGTTTCTGTAGCAGGCAGTCTCTTGCTTTTGGACAAAAGGGGAGTTTCCTGTCTATCTTCAAGCTAACAGCTTTTTGGTTGATATCAAATGATGCAGATGCAGAGCCCAAGGCAGTATTTTTTTTTTTTTTCTCCTTCTCTTCTGGTCTAGAGGCTCTTTTCCGTCTTCTCAGTTATAATGGATCTTGGCTTCTGCCCTGGTTTTGATGCATTTGCTGGTCCCTATCCCAGTGCCCATCAGATTAAGTCTTTTGATTTATGCAAGAAAAAGATCAAAACAAGCAAGCTGGGCTCCTTGCTTTCCAGTTGAACATTAGCACTCACTGACCTGTTTCACCACAAGTAAAAGTCCTCTTGTTCCCCTGCCTTGTTCCTAGATTTTGTTGTTGGAAACAATTTTGATTGAGCACAAACTTTACTTTCCCACACCAAGCTAGAACACACTTGGCCTTTGACTTGGCTTTACATTTTAGTTGATTTCTTCTTACCTACCTTGGTTGTCACTACATCTCTGTCTTTTCAGTTTAGTTTCAACTCTTCTCTCCCCTCCCCTTCTCGCTCTCAGTTTTTGAGAAACGGTTTTGTTGTTTGTTGTTGTTTGTTGTCATTTTGCTTTGTTTGTGTTTCAGACTGCCTTCAAACTCCCAAATCCCCTTGGCTAAAATCCAGTATTAGGATTGCAGGTTTATACCACCATATCTATCCCTCCTTTTATGTATTTTCTTAAATGTTTTAAGCTGGAGAAAGAAGGCCTTTAGTGTTAGGCTCAACTATTGATTTTGTGATTTAAACAAAGTTACACAATTTACAAAGAGCCCATCCTGTATTTTTCTTTTAAAAAAGTTAATAAATCTGCTTTATGAAATAGAATTATTATCAAGTTTATCGTAAAATTTGAAGAAAAGGCTTCTTTGTGAAGTGCTACGCTTTTAAAAAATATTCATTCTTAATTTAGATTTAGAAATACTGAGAAATGCCATGCTGACTTGATGAGATGTTTCAGTGGGTAGAAAGGGCTACCAAGCCTGCTGGTGTGAGTTTAGTAATCGAGAAGCCACATGACGGAAGGAGATAGCCAACACTAGCAGACTGTCTTTTGACTTCCATATTTGCATTGTGGCATTCATGTGTTGGGTATGTCTGTCTGTCTGCCACTCTCTCTCAGTAAATGAATTTAAAAAAATGTAAAAAGCGATGTTGACAGATGTATCTTAATTACTTCCTTTATAATCAACAGTAAATATTCTTTGTAAACTATTTTTCAGTTCCTGTTTCAAATTACCTTTATAAAAATGTAAACACATAAATTGGAACTGTTATTTTTATTAAGAATTTTAGAATAATGAAGTAAACACTGATTTTAACATGATAGTTTTGAGCACGTTAAGATTTGTGAATGTTTAAAGCAAAAACATTAACACTATTAATGTACCCATGAAAGACATATTTCAGTCTACATGTATTTAGAAATAAAATATTCTTTTGTATGTAGGAATAAAAGTCTGATCTGTTATCTTGTGATACTTAATAAGTTCTTTTTACACCTTCTAGGACAGTGGTGACTACCCCCTTACCATGCCTGGCCCTCAGTGGAAAAAATTCCGTTCCAATTTTTGTGAATTTATTGGAGTCCTGATTCGGCAGTGTCAGTATAGCATAATTTATGATGAATATATGATGGACACCGTAATCTCCCTTTTGACTGGTTTATCAGATTCCCAGGTCAGAGCTTTTAGGCATACAAGTACCCTTGCTGGTAAGTAACCAATGTCTTCTTTGCTTTTCATTGAGTTTGCCAAATTTTGTTTTATTGTAACCAAACTTTACTTTGATCTAAGGTTAATTTAGTATTTGCTCGGAAAATATCTACATAGTTAATTTTCGTACTTGGTATTTTACAGCCTTAAGAATAAAAATTGAAAATAGCTGTCTAATATCTATAAATGTCTGTTGATTTTCTTTTATCTGTGTTTTCCAGCCTTTTGTTTTTAATATACTGAATAACAAAGGCTATTTTCATGCCTACATACAAATGTGCTTTGAACATATCCCCCCATTATACCCAAGCCAAAGAAATTTTAAGAGGCCATTGTGCCATGTGCTTTGGTAAAACACAAGTAATACTAGTTGTTAGGGTTGTTTTTGTTTGTTTGTTTGTTTGTTTGTTTGTTTTTAGACAAGGTCTCACTATGTAACTATGGCTTACCTGGATCTTCGTATGTAGACCAGGCTGGCCTCCTATTCATAGTGATCTACCTGCCTCAGCTTCCCAATTGCTGGGATTAAAGGCCTGGGGCCCTTCCCCATCAATCACTTAGAGCCTGATCTTAATTGAGGCTCTCTCTTCTGAGGTAACTTTAGCTTGTATCAAGTTGACATAAAACTATACTGTATGGTCTTTCACTCTGCATAATGTCTGGCTGTGGGTCTCTTTATTTGTTCCTGTCTGCTGCAAAAGGAAGCTTCTCTAATGATGGCTAAGCAAGGCACTGATCTTTCAGAATAGCAGAATGTCATTAGGAGTCATTGATTGTTATGTAATCTTTTTAGAACAGTATTGGTTTTACCCTAGCTCCCTGATCTACCTAGTCTCATGTTCTTGATTTCCCAATAAGTGTGGAATATGGGTTCCAGCTTGTGGAATGGGCTTTAAATGAAAGCAGATATTTGTAGTTGGATTTTTTGGTAGCTGCCAGCTCACAAATGACACAGAGACTTACTGTTAACTATGAAAGCTTGGCCATTAGCTTAGACTTGTCCCACTAGCTCTTGTAATGTAAATTAACCTGCTTTTATTAATCTCCCTTTTACCTTGTGGCCTTTTGCTTTTCTTTCATTGGTATGTCTGACTCCTCCATGCCTTATTGGCATCTCCATATCTTAATTTTTCTCCTCCTCCTTTCTCTCCCTGTCCAGAAGTTCCACCTATATCTCCTACCTAGCTATTGGCTGTTCCGCCTTTTATTACACTAATCACAGCAATATACCTTCACATAGTGTACAAAAATCCCACAACAGATATTGGTTGGTTACTCCCACAAGCTTTGTGCCACCATTGCACTAGCATATGTTGCAGGCAGGACACCATGGTAAATCAAAGGGTTTGTGGTTTGTCTTGGAATTTATGTTTCTTATGTGCATTCAGAGTATCATCCTGTACCAAAGACATTGTCACATAGGGATGAAGGCTTTAGGCAGGCACTGGTTCGACTCCTCCTCATTCGTTGAGTTGAGTAGGTGTTGTCTTCAACAACAGGGCCTCCCCATCAGTTTGTTGAGAGCAACCTATAGTCTTGGCAACAGCCTCAGTTGTTTGGGGGTTCCTATGGGAACCCTTTGGTTAACATTTCAATTAGTTGTAATCCAGTCCTTGTACTGGAAGCTTTATTTAGTGACAAGAGATGTTCAGTTTGGGCTCTGCCTTCCTCATTATTTGGTGATTTCATTTAGATCACCTTCATATATGTCTGTATTTTAGAAATTGTTTACAGCACTAGGATTCCATACTACCCCTCAAATGGCCCTTAATTTTAACTGTCTCTCCATGTATTCTCTCCCTTGTCCCCCTCTTCCTTCCCTCTCTCCACTTGATCCTCCCCATCAATGCATAATTGTCTGTTCTGTTTCCCTTTTTTAGGGGAACCTGACATGTTCCCTCCCCCCATCCATTATACCTCACCTTGGTTTGTAGCTTGGTTATCATTAACTTAACAGCCAATATCCACATATAAACAAATACACACTGTAGTTGTTACTTTGAGTCTAGGTTACTTCACTCAGGATGATTTTTTTCCATTTACCTGTGAATTTCATATTTTATATTTTTAACTTCTAATACTCCATTGTATAAATATATCACATCTTCCTTATCCATTCATCTGTTGAGAAACATCTAGGTTGTTTCCAATTTCTGTCTGTTATGAATAGAGCAACAATGAAAATTGTTGAGCATCCTTTGGTTATGTGCCTATAGGTCAATTCCCATCTTTTTGAGGAATTGCACACTGATTTCAATAGTAGCTGTACAAGTTTGTAGTCCCACAATGGATGGGTATTTCCCTTACTCCACATCCTCACCAACATGAGCCAGAACTTGTTTTATTGATTTTAGCCACTCTGATAAGTGTGACGTGAAATCTCAAAATAGTTTTGATTTTCATTTCCTTGATGACTAGCGATGTTGAACCTTTCTTCAAGTGTTTCTCAGCCATTTGCATTTCCTCTATTGAGAATTCTCTATTTTGATCTATACCCCATTTTTTAATTGGGTTCTTTTCTTGGTATATAGTTTTTGAGTTCTTTATATATTTTGGATATTAGACCTCTAACAAATGTTGATTAAAAAAAAAAGTTGGTAAAAAATATTTTCCCATTTTGTAGCCTGCTATTTTGTACAAATGACAGTGCCCTTTGCCTTACAAGAACTTTTCAGTTTCATGAGATCCCATTTATTATTTGTTGATCTTCGTGCCTATACTAACAGTGTTTTGTTCAGAAAGTCTTATCCTTTTTCACTTGGTTCAAGGCTATTCCCCACTTTCTCTTCTATCAGGTTTAGTGTATCTGGTTTTAGGTTGAGGTCTTTGATCTACTTCGAATTAAGTTTTACAAGGTGATGAGTATGTGGGTCTACTTGAGATTGTACTACATACAGCCATTCTGTTTAACCAACAACATTTGTTAAAAGATGCTATTTTCCCATTGTGTATTTTTGGCTTCATCAAAAATCAGGTATCCATAAGTGTGTACATTTATGTCTGGGTCTTTAATTTGATTCCATTGACCAAAATGTCTGGTTTTGTGCTAATACTATACCATTTTTATTACGATAGCTCTATAGTATAGCTTGAAATTAGGAATGGTGATACCTTCAGCAGTTTTTTGTTTTTTGTTTTTTTTTTTAATTTTTCAGGATTGCTTTAGCTATTCTGGTTTTTGTTTGTGTTTTCATAGAAATTTTTAAAATTTCAAATTCTGTGTAGAATTTTGATGGGGATTGTATTTAACCTGGAGATTACTTTGGTAGGGTGCTAATTTTAATATATTAATCCTACAGATCCATGAGCATGGGAGATTTTTCCATCTTCTGATACCTTCTTCAATTTCTTTCTTCAGAGTATTTCACTTGCTTAGTTAGTGTTACTCCAAGATATTTTATATTATTTGAGGCTCTTTCTTAGTCCATTTGTCATTTGTATATAAGAAGGCTACTGGATTTTGTGAGTTAATTTTCTATCTAGCTACTTTGATGAAAGTGTTCATCAGCTGTAGGAGTTCCCTACTAGAATTTTTAGGGTCATTTATGTATACTATCATATCATCTGCAAATAAAGATACTTTGACTTCTTCCTTTTCAATTTGTATCCCCTTGAATTTTTTTAGTTGTTTTATTGCTCTAGCTAAGTATACTTACTCAATATAGTACTTGAAGTAAGTATGGAGAGAGCAGACAATATTGTCTTATTTCTGATTTTGGTGGCATTGTTTGAGTTTCTCTCAGTATAAGTTGATGTTGGCTATGGGCTTGCTGTATACTGCCTTTATTATGTTTCCCTATGTCCCTTGTACCCTTAATCTGTCCAAGGATTTTTATCATGAAAGTGTGTTGGATTTTATTTTATTTTTATTTTTTTGGTTTTTCGAGACAGGGTTTCTCTGGGTAGCTTTGCGCCTTTCCTGGAACTCACTTGGTAGCCCAGGCTGGCCTCGAACTCACAGAGATCCACCTGGCTCTGCCTCCTGAGTGCTGGGATTAAAGGCATGCACCACCACCGCCCGGCTGGATTTTGTCAAATGTCTTTTCTGAATCTAATGAGATGATTGTGTGTATTTTCTTTCGCTTTGCTTATATGGTACGTTATATTTATTGATTTTCATATATTGACCCTTCCTTGCATCTCTGGGATGAAGCCTACTTGATCATGGTAGATGATCTTTTTGATGTGTTCTTCGGTTTGGTTTGTAAATATTTTATTGATAATTTTTGCATCTATGATCATAAGGGAAAATGGTTTATAATTCTCTTTCATTGTTGGATCCTTATATGGTTTATGTATCAGGCACCTGTAGCCTCAAAAAAACAAATTGAGCAATGTTCCTTATATTTCAATTTTGTAGAATAATTTGAAGATATTAGCTTTCACTCTTTTTTGAAAATTTGATAGAATTACGCTCTAAAACAATCTGGCTCTGGGCCTTTTTGGTTGAAAGACTTCTCATGACTGCTTCTCTTTCACTAGGTGTTATAGGTCTGTTTAAATTTCTTATCAGATTTCCATTTAACTGTTGTAAGTGGTATTTATTAAGAAAATTATCCATTTCTTTTAAATTTTCCAAATGGGTAGAATATATATTTTTGAAGTACATCCGTAAGAGTCTATGAATTCTTCATTCTCCATTGGTATATCCCCCCTTTCATCTCTAATTTTGTTAATTTGGATATTCTCTCTCCACCTCTTAGTTAATTTGGTTGAGGGTTTGTCAATCTTAGTGATTTTTCTCAAGGAACCAAACTCTTTGTTTCACTGATTCATTGTTTTGTTTGTGTCTAGCATATTGATTTCTGCCCTGAGTTTGATTATTTCTTACCATCTATTCCTTTTGGGTGAGTTTCTTATTTTAGTTCTAGAGCTTTCAGGTATACTGTTTAGTTACTAATATGAGATCTCTCCAATTTTATATATAGGTACTTAACTATAATCTGTCTCTTAGGGCCACCTTCATTGTGTCCTGTTAGTTTTGGTATGGTGTATATTC